TGCTACTGTTCTGTTTCCCTCTAGTCCGGACACCCTTTGGTCGAGGCGTGTCAGCAGAGTCATTATGGAGTGGAGGATGGTCTCGGTTGTGGGGGGTGTGTTGAGCAGAGGAGTTTGGGGTTGTGCTCTGGTCTGCTGTTGAGAGGATGCCGCGTTCGCGTATGACATCTCCGGGCGGGTGGTGGACGAGCCATGGGCTGTTGAACGGGGGTTGGGTTTCACAAAAGGGGGAGGAGGCGGAGTGCCTTTTTTAGGGGCATGGGCTCCTTTGTGAGGAATTTTGGGGCAACCCCGGTAGAAGGCGCGGTGCTCACCGTTGCAGTTTGCACAGCGAGGGGTAGCTTGGGTGGTGTCCCTTTTTGGACAGGTTGCGGTGGCGTGGTTTGCGCTGCAGAAACCACAGACAAAGGCAGCGCGGCAGTAGGAAGCCGTGTGGTTAAATTTCTGGCAGCGACGGCATTGGGGGATTTCGTTGGACTTGCACTTTTCTTCTACTCGGACGGAAGTGCCCCCGAGTGACCTGAGGTTGTAGATGGCGCGGGAGTTCGGGTCCGACGCGTCAAGGTACACGGTGACCAAGGACCAGGTTCGGTCACCCTTTGTCAAGCGGTAGACGCGACGGACGGAGGGTACTTTGTCCTGGATCATGTCCAAGATTTCTGCTTCCGTGTAGCCAATATTGACTCCACGGATGACGACCACCATTTCACGGTCCTCGTGAAGTTGGTATGTGGTGAACTCGACCTTTTTTTCGTCAAGGTCGTGGACGATGCGACGGAAGCTGTCAACGTCATCGGGGTACACGCGAGTACCCTGGGATGTGGTTATAACACGGCGGACAGAGATTTTTTCCTCGGTGAGAGCTTTGATGATTTGGGGCCAGAGTCTCTGGTCCAAGATCGTGATGGGAGGTGGGGCCTTTTTTGGGGGATATTAGCAGTCTCCTGCGTTTCTGCATGCGCTGGGTCCTCGAGGTGACCGTCAAACGCGTTTTTCCCTGCTTGGGAGGAGCTTAGTGGGGGTTGAGAGTCGCGAGACTCTTCAAACTCCATATCAGAGAGTTCGGAGTTTGAAAGTGACACATTGGTCACTATTTTTGTGCGCCTTCTCTTTGCGGCGGATTTCTTGGCGGTCGAATTTTTGGAGGCATTTTCCACTGGCCTAGGGCTGGGCATGGGAGAAGGCTGCTTTGTTCCTGAAGTGGAAGGCTTTAGCAGGTTTAATGGGTCGCGGTTTGCGGGTGACGGAGAGATGAAATCCGGAACTTTTACCGGGGTGTTTTCCGCTGCGCGGGGGGACTTAGTATAAATAGCCGTGATAATGTTGTCTTTCTCCTCGTTGGATTGGACAAGTTTAGCAATTTGCTGATTGGATTTTTCCAGCTGGATAGAGTACTCACTCGTAATCTTTTCCAGGTACTCGTTCCACTGCCGGAGTTCGGCGAGTTCGGCTACAATTTTTGCCAGTGTATCGCCACGGGACAGCGGGGTGCGTTCCCGCTGGGAGTCGTGTCGGTTGACGCGTAGGTCTCGGCTTTTCAGCTCGAGGGATCGTTGGTCCTTTGGCCGGCTGACTGTCATGTCAGACACTGCGGAGAACTGTGCACTATTGTCACTTGCACTAGCACTGTCACTTGCACCATTTAGCGCGAACATCTCGGAAGATGATGAGTCTGTTTCTTCCAACAGCGCGTCGAAAGAGTTAGTCACACTGACTTGAAATTGTGGATTATCCACAGTGCTCATTTTTTGGCTGTGCTCTAGTGAAGGGATAGCCAATTGGGCCATCCCTGAGGGCGGCGTGTACGCGGGTGTATAATTTAGCGGAAACACAGTCGCGCGGCGCGACTAAGTCGCGTTTACTGAAAGAGAAATAGGTGAATTAGGTAGCCCTGAAATGGGCCGTTTAGAGAGAACTCAAGTGACTCAAGTCTGAGTAAGAGCGATGCGTAACGGGCGTGCGCAGAAAGCGTGCGTTCGGTACGAGCGCTCGAGCGAGACTGTGTCCAGTAAGTGCCCCGGGTCATTTGGTGATTGGCGCTTGTGTTATTATTTAACGATTTATTAGTTATAAAGCTGCCAGGAAGTACCCCGAGTCATGTGGTGATTGGCGCTTGTGTTATAGATTAATGTTTTTTTACTAAATAGTGAGGCCTGTAAGCGCCCCAGGTCATTGCGCTAATGTTATTAATTAAACATTTTTTAATTTTCGCGCGTTGCGGTTACTTGTTCAACCAATTAAGCCCTCTCTACAATAACGCAACTCTCTTCTCAAATTTACACCGCTCTTCTGAACCGACACTAGCGCTTCAGACGCCAGCAAAGTAAATCATAATTCTTCGGCTCTTGGCAATCTTGGCATCGCATTCCAACAGTTTGACACTTTGACACAAACAGGTAACCTCAAAGTCCATTTTTCCATGTGCGCGCATAGAGGGAAAAAGAGTTATAATTGTAGAATAATTAATTTTATTCGTATTTTTAACAAATAGAGCGATAATTGTCGACTAATTTTTATTATTTTCCAAGTCAAACAATATCACTAAGTTTCATTAGTTCATCGACTGAAAATGGAAAAAGACAATAGATTGATTGTTAAAAATTTGCCGACAAACATAACGGAGGCCCAAATACAAGACTTATTTGGACAACATGTGACTGTGAAAAAAATCGACTTGAAAGAAAAAAAGGATCTTGAAAATAAGATTCATAAATTTGCCTTTGTTTATATATCTACAACTGAAAAACAATTACACAACTGTAAGATCTGAGCATGTCGTTTATATGGTATCTCCATTATTTATTTTATTTATTTTTGCATCAGGTTTTCGAGCTCTAAATGGAGAACGAGTTGATGGATTTCAGATATCTGTAGACTTAGCAAAGGAAAGTTTTTTGGAGAAATTAAAACGAGAAAGAGAAAGTAACCAATTAAAAGAAGAACCCGTGAACACAATACCAAATGAAAACTACTATCAGACTGACAGCTTTAATGCTAAGCATAAGAAGTTTTCTGACCTTGACTTCACTCAAAGTATTCAGTTTGATGAAAAAAAATCGAATAAAAGAAAAATAGAAAAGGAAAAGTTATCTGTGCAAAATAATGTAGATCAAAGTGGTGAACAAGAGTATTTTGATGAAATAGATAAATCATTTGAAACTACAAAACAGGAGCCGCTAAAAAAATCTGAGCCAAATATAGGTGAAACATCCAGGAAAAAACTTAAAATCCAGGATTATGATGAAGCTGAACCTACCAACAAAGTGAATGGCACACAAAAGGTTTCTCAAACGCCTCCAGTGAGTGAATCTGAAAGGAGAAGACGAGAGTCTGTAAAACAAAAAAAAAGTCTCTTTAAAGCTCAAGAACAAGTTATACGCAATGCTTTAAGATCCGTTGTAAGTATTAGTTTCGTATAGTTGTTAAAGAAATTTAAAAATAACTAAGTCAATTTTTTCATAACTATTTCTTGTAGAATTGAGCATAAGAAGTTGTAAAAATATTAATAATTTTTTAAGACTGTTCGTCTTTACTACTCGCACTACATATGTTCTAAAAGTTGAAATAATTTTATATAGGTATATTTTGTTAAGAGAACCGAACCGAACCAAAAAGGGCTTGAACGAACCTTATTTATTTATTATGAATTTACTGAGTAATTGTTTCTTCGCGCTAAGAAATGTATTTGTAATAAATAAGTTTCTATACTTTCAAACTTTTGCCGACTATTTAGTAATGTTTAATTTACTCTATTTCTAGGATAGTACCAAATCGCACAACAAAATTATGTTTGATGAGGCAGGAAATATATCCTATGACATGAAGGAAGACTCATCTGAGAAAAATAAAAAGAACACTTTGTTCAGTGATGATGAAGATGGTGATGCTGAAAAAATAGAATGGGATGAACGAGAATTGGAAGCCAAATCAAAAATTAATCAAAAAGTTAGTTAAATGCGCTTAAAACTAAAAAATCTTACGAGTTACAATATTACTAACATTTCATTATTCATTTTAGTTAATGCAACTTCAAGCTAAAATAGGCTATGATGATAGGTTTGTACTCGATGAGCGATTCTTGGAGGATGAGTGCAAAGAAGAAAAAAAACAGCTTGATGAAGATCCCATTATATCGGACGAGAAAAAGTGGCAACTACAAATTTTGAAAGATGTTTTGGGAGAAAAAACAATGGCACCTTCAGCAGATAAAAATGTTGTTAAAAAGTAAGTTTGTATCAAAGCTGAATCATGGTACTGAAAAAACTTTAATTCCTGAGTTTCAGAGCGCATGCAAAAACTTGGTTTCAATTGTATTGACAATAGGTAATATTATTTCGATTTTTCAGAAAAATTAAAATGATCAGGTATGATCCTACTGCCAGTGATCATAAAGATTTTGAAATAAACATCGAGAAACCAAAAAAAGAAAAGCCTGTAAAAAAGAAAAAAGAAAAAAAAGTGATAGAAAGAGTTGATGAACCTTTACCTGAAGTATCATCAGAAATATTTTTTGACGTAAAAAATTTAGCTTTTGGCAATCAAAACGGAGGATTTAGCTTGTTGAAAGCCAACGATAGCACTGAAATAAATGGTGCTGCTGGTTCAAATGAAAGTAGTAGTGGTTTTAAATTTAATTTTGGTGCTGATGATGTTGACGATCACAAATCTATAAAAATCGAAAGAGATTCATGTTTGAGAATGAACATTAAAACTAAAAATTCTTTTAAATGTAATTCATTAGATGAGGAGAGTTACAATAAAGAATTCACAAAAAATGGTACCTCAGATTACTCTCATGAATTTGAGTTTGCTTTATCGTCTCAAAAAAATGATTTTGTGTTCTTTGTTGACGATGATCCACGATTTAAAGGTGAACTAAAAATATATAAATATTTTTCTAAACTATGATCATTTACTAATTACAATTCTCTAATATTCCAGAAGCAGCAGATTTCTTCAAAACACCGATATTGCTGGAAGAAGGTGATTTTAAAAACAAAAGACGGGAATTAAAAGGAATTGTGCGATCGAAAATTCGTAATAATATAAAAAGGAAAGTTCCTTGGAATAAGAAGAAAGTACAGAAAAAAACAAAATCAAAATAAAAGTAACGTGTATATAAAAATAATCCTTTTTTACATTGTGTGCTCATTAAATTTTTGTTTATTATAAAATTGTATATATAATTCCATAATTATGATGGATATTTTTTATAATAAAAAATTATATAAATTGATAATTATTTTTTATATACATCCTTACTGCGGTTCAAATTAACCTGTAAAAAAAATTATTACTTCAATATTTCTGATTCCCGAATTTAATTATACATTTAGTAAACTTTAGTAAGTAGCAGTTTTTCTGACTGCGTGTGTCATCATATCACTGCATGGATATGGATATTGTCAGCTCATCGTCCATGTGTCATTCGATTCAGTCACTTGTCGCTTGTCGAGTTGTTACACCGGCATTAGGATCAGTTGGTGTTGAGTTGGTTATTTTGACTTGCATTGATAGGTTGAGGTTAGTGTTGTTTACAAAGAGGCTAATAAACTATAGAAATCGGATTATTATTCATCAACAAAACAAATATTTACGTGTAAGTATTATTTATTTTATCTTGTTACATAAAAAACATAAGATTGCACTCCTTTATCTAGTGTACTTTTTTTACAAGTAAAGGTAAACAGCCCAATTCGATTTGTTTCTTTAAAGTTGCCTTTTTTTTGTCAGTTCATAGATTTAATCTGCTGTCATGTCGGGTTTCAACGATCAAAGCTCAATTGCCCAGAAATCATGGGAAATGGCCAACAATGTAGAGACAATCAGTACTTTGGATGAGGTTTACAGATATGACAGAAAAGAACAGCAAGACATTCTTGCTGCCAAACCATGGGAGAAAGAGTAGGTCATATAATATTATGTATTTCTTTAAAAATGTTGGATTAGCATTTTTAATCGTTCTCGATCGTTTTCAGCCCACATTTTTTCAAAGATATCAAGATTTCTGCTCTGGCACTGTTAAAAATGGTTATGCACGCTCGTTCGGGTGGAACTCTTGAAGTTATGGGTTTACTGCTGGGCAAAGTCACAGCCAACACTATGCTTGTCATGGATTCGTTTGCTCTGCCTGTTGAAGGTACAGAAACTAGAGTCAATGCTCAGGCTCAAGCCTATGAGTACATGACAGCCTACATAGAATCTGCCAAACAAGTAAGAATTAATCATTATAAGCTACTTTAATAGGTTCAATGTTAATAATGGCTGGATTTGTACCTGCAGGTTGGTAGGCAGGAAAACGCAATTGGTTGGTACCACAGCCACCCAGGTTACGGATGTTGGCTATCTGGTATTGATGTGTCCACACAAATGTTAAACCAAAACTTCCAAGAGCCATTTGTTGCCATTGTCATCGATCCAGTGAGAACAATATCTGCTGGGAAAGTTTGCTTGGGAGCGTTTAGGACATATCCAAAGGTAAAGTCGTTAGCTATATTTAATATTAAAAAATTTGGTGCAATTATGTTTCACTCGTCATTTTAATCAGGGCTATAAACCAGCGAATGAAGAACCATCAGAGTATCAAACAATACCTCTGAATAAAATCGAAGATTTTGGTGTTCACTGCAAGCAATACTATTCACTTGAAGTAACTTACTTTAAATCTTCACTGGACCGAAGACTGCTTGACTCTTTATGGAACAAATATTGGGTCAATACTTTAAGTTCCTCCAGTCTTTTGACAAACACTGACTACACTACAGGACAGATTTTCGATCTGTCTGATAAATTGGAACAGTCGGAACAAACGCTAGGACGTGGTTTTGTTTTTGGAGGACTAGAGTTTCATGAGAAGAGTACAGTGGATAAGCTTATTAAGGCCACCAGAGACAGTAGTAAAACAACTATTGAAGTGATTCATGGTTTGATGGCTCAAATCATTAAAGACAAACTTTTTAATCAAGTTGGCATATGTAAAAATGAGCAAAATAAGCAAAATGACTCAAATGAGCCAAATAAGCCAAGCGAGGAAAAAGAGGAAATAGAGAATAAAGCAATGGAAGAATAATTATGGATTTTTGTAATTTTTTAATTAAATTTTACGATCCTAAGTCACGGAAAAAAACTTATAGTTAAACTTTGCGTGTGAAAGTCTGTCCTTAAGTAAAACTTACACAAGTAGTTCTCGACTTCTTATAAATTTTTCAGAAAAAAATGAAAAACATGTCAAAATAATTATAGTGTTCAACTCTTTATATTAATGGAATAAAAATACATTTTATTTTCACACGTTGATTCGCTAAAAATTATGTACAGCATCTGTGTAATTAATCATTTTCATCATCGATTTATATATTTATAAAATTAATTAGTGTAAAGAACAATAGGATTTCGATTTTTCAGAAAAATTAAAATGATCAGGTATGATCCTACTGCCAGTGATCATAAAGATTTTGAAATAAACATCGAGAAACCAAAAGACAAGTTTAGNATGTAAAATTTGTTTATAAAAAAATATGTTTTATACACAGGATAGCATTAATTGCTCGTAAATTTATTTTCTTTCAATCCTAAAAATATATATTGAAATTCACCAATTAAATTAAAAAAAAGAAAATTGTTTGACTATTGTTCATCACGATGTACGATTTAAGGATGAACGGGCCCTGGATGCCCTGTAGTCGGTTTCCCTTTGCAGCGCCCCACGTTGGTATCGCGTAGGTGCTGATGCTTTTAATTATGGCGTTGAAGGTGCGTAGCTTGGTCTTCTGGGAGACGGCTTTGTTGTTAAAGACGGGCTTTAGTTGCACGAAGGCTCCATATGCCTTTCCGCGGGTGTTGTTGATGTGCCGAACGTACCTACGTGAGTCGACGGTCTAGCGTTAAGCCAAGGTACTTGGCGGAGTAGCTCCAGTCGATATCTACTCCGTTGACCATTATCTTCTGCAATTTCTTCATGGGATTTTTCCAGGAGACGAGCATGGCTATAGTCTTTGCCTCAATGACGACCAGTTTCCAAAGACTATACCAGTTGAGTAGAGTAATGATGTGCTCGTTTAGAAGGGTGGTGCACCGAGAGTGTTGTTTTGACGTACAGCTGACCGCGACGTCGTCTGCGTAGACGTGCGTGTTGATGTTTTCGCGCTGGGGCAGGTCGTGGCAGAATATGTTGAAAAGGGTGGGTGAAAGTTTGGAGCCTTGGGGGACTCCGGAGGTTATTGGACGGGGGTCGGAGAGGGAGTCGCCTACTTTAACGCGGATAAATCTGTCCGAGAGGTAAGATTTGACGGTGCCTCTGAGGTAGTGTGGAAAACGTAACTGTATAAGCTTGTACAGGAGGCCCTCGTGCCAAACTCTGTCGAAGGCCTGCTGTACATCTAGAAAAGCTATCGCGGTGAAGTTTTTGTGGATGAGGCTATCGGAGAGGTCCTCGGTGACTCTCAGAAGCTGGTGAACTGCCGAATGTCTGGCTCTAAAACCGTACTGCACGTCTGGAAGGATGTTATTTTCCGTGGCGTGCTTGTTTAGGCGGGTGAGAATGACGCTTTCAGTGATTTTACTGGGCGATGAGAGTAGGCTAATGGGTCTGTGGCTTGCGGGGTTGCTGAGGGGTTTTCCCGGCTTCGGGAGGCAGATGACCGTAGCCACCTTCCACGCAATTGGGAAATAACGAAGGCGCATCACGGCGTTGGTGATGTTGCAAATCGCCGT